TCATAGCTGGACATAAAGAATAATATGTTAGTTTTACATCAGTGTATTTGTCTTGACCTTATTTAAATCACAGCCAACTTAGATACCAACTTCACTAGCTTTACTAATAAGCCCTATCTCATAAATTCAAGACATACTTATACCATTTGCTGCTTACTCAAACCTTCAGTCTTCTTAATTTCTCCCTTTTTCCATTTTGGAATAAACATTTAAAATAATTCTTAATTCCCAAATCTTTTCTTATCCAAAAAAAAATTCATTTTTGTCTCCTCATTCCTTTCCCAAGGCTTTAAAAAACTCCTTTTTTTTCTTTACACACTTCCTTTGCTTTAATTTGCTTTTAAAATAACCATTATAAAATCTTGTAACAAAACTTCCTTTTTAATGCAGCATAATAATCCTTTGAAACACTTGTTAACACCCAAATCTGATGACCTTCTTTGTAGTTTTAGTTTAAACTTGCCCATTTTAAAAACTTGGCAGCTGGTCACAAGCAGTGCAAGCACTAGCTATAATTGAAGTCAAAAAGCAAATCATTTCAGGAAATATAAAAATATCAAAAAATCACCATACAAATCAGAAGCACTTTAGTTTGATAGAAAAACTACCTTTTTACACACCATACTGACAGTTTTTATATATCAAAATACCAGACTATTTTGTACACATTTACACACACACACACACACACACACACACACAAAACACAATTGTGCACAAAGGTTTTAAAGGGTGCTTAGGTTTTAAAAATGAATATTGGCCTAAGTTTTCTGGAATTCCAGTGGCAAGAGATACTTTTGCCCATAGCACTTTAGAACCACATGGTCATAGTTAGAAAAACAAAAGCTTAAAAACAAATATGTTTGCCAAAGAACAAGCAGAATCTCTTACAGATAACCAAGACCTAGATGTTTACTGAGGCCAAATTATATTACACAGAAAGATTAGCTTGTGTCCCTTAGGATTCCCCATATCCCTGGTGATTGGGGGGACAGTGGGCTTACTATGGGAAGAACCCTGGTTCTTGAGACAGACTCAAGCTCAGTTGGTGCAGACACTATAAGAACAAAGTGAGGGGCTAGGAAGGTGGCTCAGTGGTCGAGTGTTTGCCTTGCATGCATGAGGTCCTGCGTTTTTTCCCTCAGTACCACATAAGCAGAAAAAGTTGGAAGTGGCACTGTGGCTCAAGGAGTAGAGCCCTAGCCTTGAGGTGAAGAGCTGAGGGACAGCACAAAGGCCCAGAGTTTAGGCCCACAGCCGAAAAAACAAAAAAAAAAAAAAACAGAGTGAGACAAATAAAAGCTAGTGCTGCCAGGGGCAGAGGGAGAAAGAGAGAGGGAGGGAGGGAGAGGGACACATAGAAGGACACAGCTTGACAGACAGACAAAATGACATCCAATGACTAGATGGGTGCTCTTGTCAGAACCATCTGACAAAGAACAATCCCAGTCAGGAAGACTAACAATAGACTGATACCAAGCCAAAACCCTCTGTGTTGTCACAACCTAGAGGGCCTGTTGGGGAGTTCTGATTACATCCAGTTCCATTCCACAACAGCTCAAATAGACCAATCTCCAGAAACCAGAAAGTTGTTTACCTCCAAAGGTCTTTTGAGTGACTCCAGAAAGATTTAGTGGCGTGCCAGGTGTCCATGGTCTGGCTGTGGGAGTAGCAGCAAGACCACGGGGTCCCATCATCTATGAAGATGCCAAAATGGCAATGAAGATAAGATGGTGTTACTTAGATCTAGTCTACATATTTCAAAACCACAATCCTTCTGAAGTTCACTTAAGTAGCTGGGCTTACAGACATGATTCACTGTGTTCAGCTCAAGAGTTACCATTTTCTTAAAGATAAAATGTATTATACTTGCTGGGCACTGGTGGCTCACACCTGTAATCCTAGCTACTCATGAGGCTGGATTCTGAGGAATGCAGTTCAAAGCTATCTCAGGCAGGAAAATGCATGAGACTCTTATCTCCAATTAACCACTAGAAAACTGGAAGTAGAGCTGTGGCTTAAAGTGGTAGAGCACTAGCCTTGAGCAAACAATGTCAGAGAGGGTGTGTGGGCCCTGAGTTCAAGTCTCACAACTGGAAAGAAAGAAAAAAGAAAGGAGGGAAAGAAGGGGGGAGGGGAAGAAGAAAGAGAGAGAGCACTATACTAATCTATCAAGGAATAAATGAGTGGAAAATGCTAGAGGTGGAAGACCAGGATTTTCAGAAAGGTATTATTAGCCGACATGGTGGTAGACCTGCTCCAGAATGAAACACAGCTGTCAGAAATGTTTCTAAAACAAAAATAGAATAAACTATCTAGACTAGCACAGCCCCAAAGAGTTTTCAAAAAGATTGCAAATGCTGTAATTGAATTTCTGTATTCTTTAAAAGAATTGGACCCAATGACACCCCAATTCTCCACAATTCATGTACACTAATAGAAAGGAACAAAGAACCAAAATAACATAGTTCAAATATTTCGTGATTCTAATTGCCAAGTCTTTGGGGTGGTTTCAGTAGTTTTAATAAATACATTTTTATCAGGATCCTCCTATATTATAATTTTGACAAAAAGAAAATCATCCCAAGTCAGGGGTGTTTTACTCCTGAGAAGCACGTCAATTTTGGCTGTTGTCTGCAGCAACAGAGGTGGGAAATTATTTCATCTGATGTTTACTCACAGATCTAACAGAATTGAATTATTGTATCTCTCCAATTCTCAATAATCTTCTGAATGTTCCATAGAAACTGTCAAGAAAACTGATACCTCTGGTTTCAAAGAATACAGTAGATCAACAGCACAGGTGACTGAAAATGACCAGTGATAAGTAATGCTCAAACTTGTCCAAGTTGTTGAGCCAGAGTCCAGCAATCACTGAGGTAAATAGCATGAATGTGGCTGAGAATGGATGTTCCACTATAATTGAATAGCCTTAGGTCTCAGGAAAGCCACCCTCCATCCTAGGAGATACCCATGCCTTAAGAGGGCACGACTGGACAGTTCTTTCTCAGGACTTTCAGGCAAACCCAAGAAACATCGAAGGAGAATGACTTCTCTGTTTGGCTGGTATTCTAGGAATCTTGTTGTGAAGCAGAGCTCAGGGGTTTAAATCCTGAGCTCTGGGGACTGTGGCTGGGACCACTAGGTAGCTGTGGGCATTGGTGATGCTGGGGATGGTCGCTTAGCCTCTGCAGTGGTTGTGATTGTGGACCAACAATATTCGCTTTTCCTCCCTCCTAGAATCTCAAGGGCTGACTCCTCTGACTCCTTTGTGACACAGTGGTACCACATGGCTAGTTATACAATGAATTGTGGGAAAGACATTCTATGTAGCTTCTGGGCTGTACCATTTAATACCCAGAATTCTTTCTTGCTGCTCTGACACAATGATCGGCCACATTCAAGATGGTGGCTGTCCCAGGTACCCAGGCCCCAGAGTACCTCCATTTAATGAGCTATGTCCTATGTTGCTAGACATGTAGCATAGGAGAAATAGACTTGGTTGTGTTAAGCCTCTGATATTTAGAGTTTTATGTACTTCCACAACTTAACCCTGATTACAATGCCTCACTAAATCTTAGTTTCTTTATCTGAGAAACACAAGCAAATTATGGAATCTCTTTTCTAAGGTATTTATGAGAGCTAAGCAACAAGTACTTAGAACATAATTCTAAATATATTTTGGTGCAGATAATGATGGTGATGATGGTATACCATTTCCCAACTTGGTATCTACTAACTTACCTATTTCTATCAAGCAGGTTTTTTTTTGTCATGTGTCTTTGAGAAAATCACTTCGCTTCAAATTTCAGCCAGTAGTATGTTCTAGTAGATGAGTTGCAGATTAAATTTCTAGCTTTAAGATAATATAACTTCATTAAGGACTGCTTCAGAAAACCCAGCCTGATATTTCAAAGATATTTCTAATGGTTATGGAACAAATTATAGAGTAATGCTAAGTATTCTCTTCTCATTTCCAACATTTTCTTCCCATTTACAATTTTTTTTGTATCTCTCCCCCTCTTAAGATTTCTGCCCAGAGAATCACACCTATAAATTCTTATCTACAAAATGGCCTACTAATTAGGCACTTCCCAGGAACTCAGTGGGCTTTCACATTTCCCAGGTGTGTTTTCAGCAGTAAACCATCACCTGACTCCAGACCATGGCCCACCAGGGTCTTTCTGAGAATACAGTCTCCCTTTGTCCTAAAGAGGCATGAATGTAAAACCAGACCTGTCCATGGTGTAGTACTAGTGGGAGACCAAAGGGAAACAATAGGTGAAAGAGGAAGACTATGTCTGAAATACTTAATGTACATGTGTGAAAATGGAACAAGGAAGTTTGTTGAGACTGGATTGGAAGGAGGAGGGAGAGGAGGAGAGGGATGGAGGGGGTGAATGTGATCTCAGTACATCATATGCATGGATGGTTGTATCAAAATGACACACCTTTGTATAGCTAATTGATGCTAATAAAATATTCTTTCCAAAGAAGAGTAACCTGTCTTTAAGCCCCTTGGTCGTGACTCAAGGTGACCATCTCCATACCACCTCCACTGAGGCCTATTTCCCAATTGCTTCACATCAGGGCTTCTCGAGTTTTGATGTATGGTCCTTGTCTGTTCCAAAGGCAACCCTGCCTGAACTTGGTGATAATCAGGATGTGTTAACAGTCTTGATTAAGCCACAAGAAATGACCATTTTAAGGGATTTGTTTATGGCAGTTTCTAATGGTTCCACCTGTATATAGACCTAGTTTGTATAAGAGGGAGAATTTTATCTCATACATGTTGAGTCCCATATTGGAGTCTATCAGAGCCCTCATGGATGGCTGCCTCCTTACTTTGTTGAACTGGGTGTGTGTGGCGGGGGATGGCATTCTTGTAGCCTAGGAGGAGGCTTTCCCTCAGCTCTGCATCCACGTCGCACACATTTGCGCTGACTCTGAAAGCACCAGCGTGGCAGGAAGTAACACTGATTTCCTTTAACCTTTTTCAGATCGAAGACATCATTACAAAGATGCAAGATGACAAGACGGGGGGTGTGCCCGTCAGAACGGTCAAGAGCTTTCTCTCCAAAATCCCCAGTGTGGTCACAGGTAACACACTCCTCTCAAGGAGTCACTGAGGATCTGTGTCCCATAGATTGTGACCCCAGAGTGTCTAGGAATCTGTGATGAGTGAAAAGGAGTCAGTGCATTTCCTGAGTTACCCTTATCTCAGTTTCCAGGAAGAAGGGGTTCCTTGACCAATTACTGGGAATGGCCTAGCATGAGCAGCCTTTCAAGTGTGTGTGGGAATAAACAGCCATCAGCTGACACATTAGCATCCAGGCCTAGAGAAGAGAAACAAGCACAGAAATATTAACAAAGTTATGTTAAAGCAGGATCTTAGTCTGGGTTTTCAGTTTTCTGAGACAATAACCGTTTCACAACGTAGTTCACGCTAGACTCAAACTCTTTATCCTCTGCCTCAGCCTTCTAAATGCCAGGATTATAGATGTGAACCATCACATCATGGCCATGCTGATGGTAACACAAATGTATGTGGGTCAAATGTTGTAACAGTACACACCTAGAGTCAATAACTTTATTATGAACTGAAAAGCATGTAAGTTCAGTTGAAGTATTATTAGCAACTCATTTGTCTATTCAGTGTTAATCTGGAGTTATTTATAGAGTTCTCACCAGCAGGCTCCCTGTCCAGTTGGAATATATGTTGTCAAGGAGGCATTGGAGCATGTGGGCAAGATTTTAAAGGACTGTATGAGCTTTGAACATAAATTATGGGCATATCAATGGTCTTCAGAGCTGTGAGATTTGTGAGTTCAGGCAGTGAGTATAAGTAGAACACACAGCCCGGGTCCTAACACATGGGATGGCCAATGTATATGGGTCGGCAAGGGACAGAGAAGAGAGCAAAAGAAACAAGAAGGCTTAATTAGTTTAAATAAATACATTTAATAAAAAGCAAATGAAGCTGGGTACTGGTAGCTGACATTTGTAATCCTACCTACATAGGACACTGAGGATTATAGTCAAAGCAGACCAGGTAGGAAAGTCCACAAGGCTCCTATCTCCAATTAAGCATTTTGAAAAAGCCAGAGTGGAGTTGTGGCTCAAGTGGTAGAATGCAAACCTTGAGCAAAAAAGTTCAGGGTCAGTGCCCAGGTCCTGAATTCAAGCTCCAGAACTTGCACACACAAACACATAAAAGGCAATCTCTATTATCTAACTTAATATAGGTATGTTTGTTTCTTTCATTCTTTCTTTCTCTCTCTTCCTTCCTTCCTTCCTTCCTTTAGTTGGTCATGGGGCCTGAACTCTGAGGCTGGGCACTGCCCCTCAGCTCTTCAGCTCAAGACTAGCACTCTACCAGTAGAGCCACAGTACCACTTCTGGCTTTTTCTGCTTATGTGGTGCTGAGGAATTGAACCCAGGGCCTCATGCATGCAAGGCAAGCTCACTACCACTGAGCAACCTTCCCAGCTCATAGGTATGTTTCTTTATCCAGTATACAGATGTGAAGAAAGTAGGGATCAGGGCCAGAAAACCTAAGATAGATTTTGGACATGCGACCATTGAGACTTTGAGAGTAGTCAGGAGATCCTGGCTAGGAGCAGATTACAAGTGATGGATAGAAGTCCTAGAGAAGAGCTATGGATTTGAAAGACACAAAAACCTAAGTGACGACAAGCTTCATATCTTCATCCACAAACTATGCATTAATTTATCCCCTATCTACCTAGAAGATAATGTGCTACCCCACCCCGATCTTCTAAGGTTTTGAGGAAGATTCCTATTGACATGTAAGGACATGTAACTATATTCACTCCTCCTATCTGGAGCTCAAAGCTGAATTCATACATGTAACTTGGATAATGCCCTTTGGTTCACATGTAAGTTAGACATATTAGCCTTAGAAAGCCAGTGAGGGGCTGAGAAGGTGGTTTAGTGGTAGAGTGCTTGCCTCTCATGTATGAGGCCCTGGTTTCAATTCCTCAGCACCACATAAACAGAAAAAGCCAAAAGTGGTGCTGTGGCTCAAGTGGTAGAGCACTAGCCTTGAGCAGAATCGCTGAGGGACAGAGCCCAGGCTCAGAGTTCAGGCCCCATGACCAACAAAAAAAAGAAGAGAGAAAGAAAGCCAATGAGACAGGAATGGACATGTTTAGAAGAAGATAAGAGATGGGAGATAACCTTAGAACCCAATCCCTCTCTTAAAAGTGAAGGTTTAAGAATACTAGGGGATGAGGACTGAGAAACAAATGTTCCTAAGGGGAACTACATGGTAGACAGAAGTGAAGTAGAAATGAGAATCCAATCTTACATTGCAAAAATACAAACAAACAAACAAAACACCTGAAGCTCATTGGCTTTGGTGGAGGAAGACTCAGTCATAAGAAATGCAAATCAGGTCCTGCCATCTTACCACCCAGAGATTCGCAATTTCTGAGCAAGGTATCCACAGGAAGCGCATCTCATGCTCTCCCTACCATTCCCCTGTTAGGACAGCAGGCCAGTCTCCAGACTCTTCTCTGAGTGGTAAGTAACAAAGATGACAGTAGGGGCCATGGTGGTGAGGTGGCTGATTTTTTCACTTCCAGTCCACAGCCCTACCACGCCCTCTACCTGCTCTGACTGACAGACAAACCTGAGCAGGACTTGGACTAGCTTCAAGAGTCTTTGGAGTTCATTTCTTCCAAGCTACTCTCAGAAACACCCTCTTCTAGCCTAGAAAAATCTTCAGATCTAGTCTCCTTTATCTCTGCAGACAGGAAAATTGAATTCCAGAGTCGTGATGCAATGTGCTCCCAAATCACATAGCTTGTTAAGAGACAGAACCAAAACTATGATCTGGATTCCTCATTGCAAGTTTCTCCCATCACCTCATGCTGAGATTTATCTCCTTGAATGCAACTTGTATTAAAAGATATCCGGTGCATTTCCTCTAAACAGATGGAAAACTTGCATAGTTGGTTAAAAAAAAATACAAGATTGTCTCTACAGCCTGTATGAATGGGGAGTCTGTGTAACCCCTGACAACTCCAGCCTCTATTTTAACAACCTCCAGCTCTCATTCCATCTCTGGCCCACTTTGACCTTGGAAGTCTTTTTCCTTGTAATGAACTGAAACTTGCTTGCCCTCTTCTTTCTTTGATTTATTAGTCTCAGTTCTGCCTCTTATTCATCAGCAAAGAATGGAGGGATAGATTTGATTAAAAATTATGCCCACCTACCTCTTCCTTATGAATTTTTTTTTGGGTCCGGTCGTGGGGCCTGAACTCTGGGCCTGGGCACTGTCCCTCAGCTCTTCAGCTCAAGGCTAGCACTCTACCATTTGAGCCACAGCACCACTTCTGGCTTTTTTCTTTTTGCTTATGTGGTGCTGAGGAATCGAACCCAGGGCCTCAGGCATGCAAGGCAAGCGCTCTACCACTGAGCCACCTTCCCAGCCCTTCCTTATGAATTTTTATTGTACAATTTTCAGAAAGTATTCCATATATATTTTATGCTACTAATCTCAGCATAGATGTCCATCTCTGGCTTTTCTTAGTCCATCTTTTGTTGACATGAGCACTTATAAGTATCATTATTATGGTCTCTTGGCAGTACAATTGGAGGCAAGCTACCTGTGGGACCTTGAGCGCCTGGTCACTAGCCTTGTTGGGCCTCAGTTTCCCTGCATCCAGATTAAATGTCATCTATCCTGCTCTGATCTGCTGTGGCTCTTCACAAAATATGTACTAAGGCCTGTTTGAAGTTCATGCTTTCCCCTTTTCCTCTACATGTTGTACTTGTGTCTAGCCCTAAGTTAACTCAAGGCACCAAACTTCTCTTGGGATATGATTCTCCCAGATCAAAAACAAAAGAGCCAGATGGGGAAATCTGAGAATTATTCACAGTCAACATTGTCACTCCCCTGCTTCTATATTGCTGGAAATAAAATGAACTGGAAAAATAATTCAAAATGGAGATAATTTGTGGAGTTCCTATAGTAAATAGACTGAGTCATAGTCCCTGAAAATATCATAGCCTAGTTCTTTAAATCAGTAAGTGATATCTTACAGTGAAAAAGAGTCTTTGTAAGTTACATTAAGGATCTTCAGATGGGAAGACTACCCTGGCTTATTAGGGTAGGCCCTAAATGCAATCCTATAAATCCTTATGAAAGAATCAGAGGAAGATTTGACACAAACAGAGGAGAAAGTTAAGTGATTTAGAAGGCAGATAGTGATGTGGCCACAAGCCAAAGAATGCTAGCAGCTACCAGAAACTTCCCTAGAGCCTCTAGAGGGAATGTGGCCCTGTTGTTACCTTGATTTGAGCCTTTGAAACTAACTTGTGGCTTCATGCTCCAGGACTATGAGCAAATAACTTAAGCCAGAGTTTGTGATGACTTGTCAGAGCACCCACAGAAAGCAAAAACAATGCCTCCCCCCCCCCCCGCTCCATACCAACATGGAGTCAAGGGGAAGAAATGCCAAGGATGGTTTAGAAAATTAACACATTAACTTATAAAAGAAGTGATCAAGAGCTAACAAGTAGTTTTCTCCCAACATCTTGGGAAAATGCATAATGTTAATTTTGACAGCAAATTGGATTGATATGCATTAAGGTAGGTCAGTTTTATTCAGACTAGTCAGCTTCTACTTACTGATGTTATAACACAAATTTCACTTGTCTTGATGTAATTTAAAATACCTTTAAACTACATTATCCTGACCTATCATATTATTCCTATATTTGGGACAAGTTAAGTAAATTAATAATACAATATCAATGCACAATATTAATTCAACATTAATATAAAAGACAATCTATTCTAAATTAGAATGCCATAATTTATTCATATAATATTAAAAACACATGGTGAGAAGTGGCATTTTTATATCAGGAGTGCTTCCCTTGCTTTGAATATTTTTTTAGCAAGAATTTTAGAAACTTCTTGAACCTATATAAATATCCTTCACAAAAGTAAAATCATGAGTCCAACCTTACATTGAAATCCACATATATCCACATCGATAGTCAAACTTATTTGGAGGTTCCTGCCTTGAGGAAGAGCAGATTAACAAAATCAGAGGTATTTTCTGGAT